GTGAGATTTCACCACACAGTGGGGTCTGGCGACAGCTGTGTCCATCTTTGATGTACAGCCTTTGTTCCCGAACAAAGGCTGTACATCAAAGATGGACGTCTACCTTTGTCTCTGCTGAAGCGAGGCAGCCAGTCCACAGCTGCTCCCCACAGTAACACCGCCCCCTGCTGGTCCTCCGGCTGCTCCACAGTCAGGACAGCATTCAGCTGAACCGCCGACCTGCTGCGAGACTCCGCCTCAGCACGCCACTCTGAAAAACAGCGTGCAGCGAACAGTTCAGGCGACTTAAATAATCGACATCACTGACTCGACTCGACTGCTGAAACACTCAGAGCTTCAATAAGAGCAGCACAGGTAAGGTGAGACTCACCTGGGCTGATGTGTGTATGCGTGACTCGCAGCAGGGCGTGGACCAGTGCGTTTGCCCTCAGTGACCTCAGGGTGGCGTAGGGGAGGCGGTTCAGGTCTTGAGGGGGGCGGCGTGGCAGAGACACCAAGAGGGGGCGGCGCTCTCGGAGAAAGCTGCACAGACACCTGAGAGAGCGAGCATTAACCTGCTGGGAAACTACAGAGAGAGAGAGGGAACTGAAGCAGGTCAGCTTTGGAGGCACGTGATTGGACGAAGGCTCGGCTTACCTGGTGGTGAAGAGGAGGAAGTGATCTGTCCCACGTTGAGCAGTTTGCTGCTGAAGGTCGACTGCAGCACCGTCTCGCCTCTCCACCTGTCCTCGTTCACCTGCAGCGCTGACAAAACACACAGAGAGCTCACGCACGTGGACACAACTCGCCTCATGGCAGGGCGGCGACCATCTGAAGGTGACAGCCCCGCCCATTTATGAAGAAAAGTTACAGACTGTAAATTAAAGATGGACAAAGCTGCCAAGCCTTAAAAATGAAGCCAAGGTGGGAGGAAGACGGCAGGTTTCTTCATCCCTGACACAGAGCACAGTGTTCAAACTAAACCAGCTGTTTGTACCTGTGATGAGCAGAGCGTCTCCAGGACCTACAGTCAACGCCCAGAATGCAGCCCGCCGCCATAGCACCACCTTCATCTCAACGCCAGATTGGTCTGTCACTACAATAGACGCTAAAGGCACAGAGGCGCCCGCCGACGGCCCCGACTTCACCTGCAGACATGAAACAAACATTCGTGGAGTTTTTGACCATCAGACATATTTCAGCAGCAGATGGATAGAGTTTAGTCTAAGCTCCGCCCCCCTCTATCACTAAAGGTGTGGCTCAGGGCTCGAGCTCACGTCTGTTCACCTGTATGCTGATGACACCGCCCTTTATGCTCGACCACGCCGTCTTTCAGCAGTCGTCACCAGAGAAGTAACGCGTTACTGTAATCTGATTACTTTTTCAAGTAACGAGTAAAGTAAGGGATTACTATTGCAAAAACAGTAATTAGATTACCGTTACTTTCCCGTAGGAACGCTGCGTTACTGCGTTACTAAAACCG